CTTCGGCGTCCAAAGGTTTGGAGAATTTGAAAATCCGGCCACAGGTCGCCTCCCGAAGTCCCCACACTCGGCGTCCGAAGGAGCAACGTCCTCTCTCCTGACCCGACTTCCTCAGCAACTCCCTCTACTACTCTCCTCTCTGAAGCCCGATCCGGGTCTTCCTCCAAGTTCTGCTCGACCTCTAGCCTCGCCGCCTGATCAAAGAGCTCTGACCACTGCGAAGGCTCGAAAGTTGAGGGAGCTGTGAGAACTTCTTATACCCGGGGGTATAGTGCAGCAAATTATGGGCAGCTCGGCCAAACCGTCGGCGCCCGTGAAACTCCAAACCGTTGTTAAGTCGCCAAAATTGACCAGCGACCGAGGGGGTGGAGCTGTTTCCCGAGAAGGAATACCTGCACAACAAAAAAGATTGTCATAAACATGAGAAGTCCCAAGAACAAATAAAAATACCCAAAGGAACCGACGTACTTGTCGTTCTCCATTCCCGAGGGCAAAATAGGTCATTGTACTCGGGACCGACACCCCTCTCCAACATCCCTTGAAGATCAAGATGTCGTCCTTGTACCCCTTGTCCGAGTCAGGAAGATGGGTTACAAGGTACATAGAGGGGTCCCTGGCTTTGAGGTAGAAATGTTGGTGGGGCATGACTCTTAGGAGAGAGTAACAGAAAAGGAGGTCGTTGAGCCCAATATTCACCCCGAGGCGCCTATTGAGCTCTAGGACCCCCATAATTATCCGAAAGACGTTGAGGCAGCATTGCCCGGGGAAGAGACGGAAGCGAGACAGGAACTGAAGAAGCAGGGGGGGTAAAGGAAACCTAATGCCACCCTCTATGATGGCCTTGGTATAGAAAGGCATGGCATCCGTGGCCCCGAAGGTAGGAGAGTACAACAAGGGTTAAAACCCTACGTCCACGCTCGGGGGGATGCCATACTTCGCCCTGAACCTATCGATCTGTGCCTCGCCCGTCACCTTGTATTTCCCTGACCCCGAGGGACCAGCCGATGGATTCTCGGGAACAGGGCGACGACGAGGCATCTCTAAAAGAAAGGGGAGGAAAAGGTGTTCTCTGTTGAAAACCCGAGGAAGTTCCCCGAGGGTTTAAATCAAGACGTACCGACCGGATGACACCACTGTTCAGTCGGAAACAAGAAGGCTAGGGGGACGATAAAGAAGAAGGTTGCGAAACTCACCAGAAGATGTCGAAACGGAGTTTTTCAGGAAAAACTTTGAAAATAACTCGCACCGGAAGGATCAGGAGTCAACAATGGGTTTTACTGACTGAGGTTTTAAGAGAAGATGCTGTCGACGATGGCTGAGGAAAACAAAAAAACTCCGGCGAGCAGATCGGAAAAGGCGTATTCTGGGTCAGAGATCGGAATGGCAAAATGACAGAAACCGGAGAAGAACCCCCTTTATATAGGGGGGAAACTGTCATCATTGGCGGGAGAACCAAAAACAGCGCATTTAATGCGCACGACATCCCAAGACGGGGAAAGCTGCTCGAGGCCATAATGAAGGACGGATGGCAGTTGGAAAAAACCCTTCGTCTCCTGACAACGCGTGTCCTCGGTGTCAGAAGATCGAAGGCTGGGGGGCAGTTGATGGGACTCTTCTGAAAAGCCCTAAGATGATGACACGTGTCCTCGGGATACTTTGGAACAATGTGCCCGGATGTAAGCACCATCGGCGAAGAGCGCCCTTACCCCGAGGTACCTCTCATGTAGGATCACACATTCGGTATATTATACAACAAACGTGTCCTCGGTCAGACGTGTACCTCGGGGACACACCACCCCTTGGTCCCGAGGTGAACCTTTCCTCGGCGCCGAGGGTCACTCCATCCTGGACGCCTCCTCTGCTCCCGGATAAAGCTACTGACATACTGGACATCAGCCTATGCCAGTATGGGTTATTCATCATGACCTCCTCTTACACAAGTAATGTCAGAACGTGCTGGAATACCGGCGTAACAGCCAATAAGGGATGGACGCGTGGCAAATAATGTCACATCCGAGGCAGACAAACCGCATGCCGCTGCTGACACGCGACTTGGGAAAGCAAACAATTAATTGCACCCTTCTGTTGATGAGACCACATTCAATGCGGTAAGGTTCGGATATGAAAGGCAATAAATGCTCCTATTACAGAGCATTTATTGCATCCTTCCTGACAGGAGTATATTGTACCGTCGGCGTCCCGACAGACTCAGCATTGATTGTTCGGGACCCCGAGCAATCAATTAGAGAAGACATTCCTCATCAAATGATTACACACGCTACTGTGCCTGATGATTACCTACTGACCACACTGACAGCAATCATGATCTTCTAAGGTATAAATACCCCTCCCAAAAGACAAAGCGGGTATGCAATCACAAACTCTCTACTACAAAATATCCTTCTCAGTGTTTTCTCCTTCCTCCCTCTCATTCAAAGACTGACTAGACCGTCGGAGGGGATACGCCGGAAAACACTCCGGCGCCCTTCTAACTTGTTCTCTTTTTTATCCCAGGAAATACCTTTCGCACGTACAGGATCGTTCCTCCTTTCCCAGGATCGTAAGCTGTTTCGAGCAGTGTGCTTGGCCACTCAATTGGCTCACCCAGAGTTCACCAGGGGAGAGATCTGTTCCCAATATTTTATATATATCGTGCAGGATCAAGCCCGCACATGAACTATGTATTTAAAGGCAAATAAGTAGTTTAAGGTGTACCCATCAACAATTCTCCCAAAAAAAAAAAAAAAATAAGTGTAAAGAAGACCCAAGTCGGATCATTGTTTTGCTTGCACATCTCATAATTTTTATGTTATTGTCAGCTTAATATTCCTCACAGGAGAGACAGTTTACTTAATAATGTCTTTGGTCCTTGAAAATGATGATCTATGACATGGACTTCTTTTTCAGGTATGCACAAAAGAAATCAAAGCTTATGTGATAAAATATGTTTTTGGACTCTTTTGGCTTTGGTGTGTCCTCATTTTGCAAGAATATCTCTATGCTTGAATCATTTCCATTCTGCTGAGTAAAGGCCCTTCACCAACCCAATTGTCAGACATATCAATCACTTCCACATCGTACATTTCTTTTTAAGACATGTGATTTTACCGGAAAAGCTTCCAAGAGTGACATGAGACTGAAACTGGATTTGAGTATTTTTTTTTTGCCCGTGTCTAAACTTGATTATATAAATATGTTGAATAAATAGTTTTAGTTTTGGGTTTGAGATACTTATCGATTTCTGGTTTTGGCCTTGAGTTAATTCTATGGTTGTTGATTCAATTTTCTCTGATATATTGATGCAGATACTGTTCCATATATGACATTGGAGAAATTTTGATTCTTGACTCGAGATTTCGTTTGTGGTTGCTATATTTCGCTAAACAATATTTCAAATTTGTTCAATAGTTTAACAGTCCAGGTTTGTTTAATATTCATGACTTTTACTATTGTTTCATCTACTATCACTATAGAATTATTTATGTTATTGATTTGTTTACTATCAAATTTATCTACTATCTCTAAAATATGTTTTTAATAGTTCAATGTCCAATCTCAATGCTTTTTCTATACGTGGACATAATAAATTTAGAGTATATTTGCACATTTGTAGCTGCTTTAGTTAGGCTGGATGAATTGACTTCAAAATTAGAATATCATTGTTACAAATTCTTGCAGGATTCTTCAAATATAGTCGGAATCCACAATGTACTCTACTCGATCTTTAATGTTATGATAGTTGTTCATCTTTTATGTTTTTTACTTCTTCAGACGGCTGCAACCAACAATTTAGTTCATAAATAATTTAAACATTGTTTAGTTCATAAATATTTTAAACATTATTTAGTTCATAAATATTTTAAACATTACAACATTATTTAGTTTATCAATAATTTAAATCAAAATCTCTATAATAAACCAAATTAAAACCAAAAACTATAACAAACCACAAATGAGTTGTATCTATTTTAAAACCAAACATTATAGCAAAAAAAAAAAAGGTAACTTGCATATTTTTGTGCCAAAAAACGTGAAAACTGTTTTTCCTTGCGACATTTTTGAATGCAATTGTGACTATGTATATAGACTGAAATTCTTATGATTTCATGTTGTTGCTTTAGAAAAGTTTTTGTTAATTTTTTACAAATAATGCAGTACCTTCAGGTACGAACAATTACTAGTATATATATATAATTACTCCTAGGTAGCCAATGCACCAAAATAATATAGTAATTTTTTTTTATGGGTAATTACACACAAGAAGGGAGTAAGTTACACAGAATAGGACACATTTAAATGCATGGTCGATAGACTATCATTGTTGAAATAAATAGTGTTTGTGAGGATCCAAATCTCTACTATACAATCAGACCATACAAATGGCATAAGTGAAAATCTGAAACTAAATGGCATATGATGCTTCCAAGTCGACGAAATCCATTCATTGAGCTGAATGCAAAAAGCACTAGAATGTCTTTTGTCATAGAGATTTCTTACATTACAATGGAGTAAAGGCCTTTGAAATGACCTTATTTTACAACTATAATACAATACATGGAAGCAACCCTGACTTACAAGTTACAACTTCTACAGCAGCATTGAGTACAAGGCCTCCTACAACAACTTAACAGGTGAATCTAATTGAATCAACGCTTTTTTCCGTATTATTGTAAAATTTAATATCATAGTTTTTGGCTACCTGGATTTATGCACCTATTAGAGCAGAGAATTGGTTGGGAGAAGAGGGGGGGGGGGGGGGGGGGTGGATCAGTAGCATTGGTTAAAGCAGAAGAAGAAACCTTTTGACTTGTATTCAATAGGGGGTTTCGGGGTTCCCCGAGAGTCATCCCGTACTCGCATTAAGGAGCTTGTGCCCGGAGATTCTGGTGGCAAGACAGCATTCTCGGACATGTAAATCCGCTGGGGGATAACAGGTTCTGGTGGTGAAATCTTGGAAAGATAATGCAGAAGCATATGTATTATTTGGCTGAAGTTAGGCCTAGCATTTGGGTCCTCCTTCCAACATGAAGTTACAATTAAAGCCAAATCCTCCGTTAGATCATCAGCGCTGGGTCTCACATTCTGAAAAACAAAGTTACAAACCTCGAATCATGGTTGACCAACGAGTAGGAACCCAGAATAATTGAATGAAATTTGTCTGGTAATGTCAAATTTCAACAAAAGAAGGCAGCAAGGGGCCCTCTAAACGTCAGACATTGACCATGCATGCATTATCCATGTATTCATGGTTCTGATTCTTGTTTCTAATCAATTTGAAGGAATAATTGGCTTCTAATTGGACTCTTCCTGAGACACTTCTAGTTTCACTCAGATAAAAGGTGAAGGAATATTCAATTTTGCGCACTGGACAACTTCATTCTTGGAGATCTACAAATCCAAAGGTTTGCACTCAATATGGTCACTCATTCACTGCCAATTCTCTCACGGTCCAAGGTCCAACCGTGTGTCCTGTTGTGAAGGGCATCGTGGTCAAGTTCACAAACTAGATACTGTTTATTGCCTCATCAGAAACAGCTACTAAAAACACCTAAGAGCACGAACAGGATATATATATATATATTTTTTTGGATAAATACCGAACATGATAAATAACTATAACTGGGAGAGGGACTTACTTTAAAGGCAGCTGCATAGGCTGCCTGCAGATTAGACATGCCTTCAAATGGGAGCTTATTATGTATGAGCTCCCAAAGCACGATTGCAAAGCTATAGGAATCCACCTTGTGGTTATAATGCTTCTTCTCTCCATGCCTCAATGTAACTGTGCTGTATAGCTGCATCCAAACAGAAATTTGATCCTCAAGTCCCAACTCCAAAACGAGTAACACAGACAAGCACATTTCAATGGTATAAAAAAGAGCAGCAAAGGATCTGAGCCGTTCAAACACTACCTCTGGAGCCATCCAGCGGTAGGTTCCCGTTTCAGCAGTCATCATCTCTGTTAATGACTCTTCTCTTGCCAAACCAAAATCCGCAAGTTTCACTGTTTTATGGTCTGTCGTCAATAGCAAGTTTTCTGCAGAATGACAGAAGTTAAAGATAATTGGAACATACTGTTATAGACTTATAGTTGCTCCTAAAAGAAGCAAGCGGAGACAGAGAGAGATTCACCCACCACTGCAACTGCCGCAGTAGAAGCTTGGCTCTAGCCTAAAGAGTAGCAGTATGTTTGGCAATTCATTATCAACATAAAATCTCAATTGAGTTTAATTTAACCCAAACAATATAACATTAAATACAGCCCTAATAACATTCTACACAATGCTATTCTATCAGGAAAAAACACCTATACAAAGTGCTGCTGGCCATCTAATGGTGTCCAATCTCTGATTGTAACAAGTTGCAAGCCTACTATTCGTTCAAGCAATAAATGGTCTCCCTTAGAGCCATATATTTGTCTCAGGTTCAACCTCCACAAGCAAATCTTCATAAAGTAGGCAAAAGTCTTAAGCCAAAAGATGCTGTGAAGTAGCCCTATAAGGTGCCAGGGTAGATGATACATATCGTAGGAAAACCAAACAACCCAATTGAAGATGCTAAAACAAATCCTAATGCACAAAGTTAGCAAGAATCCATCATTTTGGTGACTGAATTTCAGCTAACTCCAAATACAAATTTGAACCACTTATTCCCCCCACCCCAACCAACACCACCCACCAACCCACACATGACAAAAAAATAACTGAACATATAAAAGGAGCCAACATAAACCGAGAGAACTTCCACAGGAAAATGCATCCCTACAAGCCCTGAATATACAATACAAGTATGAAAGGTTTCATGCATGTGCTCTGGTAACCAAAATTGGGAGCTTTGTGAATAGCCCACAGTCATAATTAGTATACCGTCCACCAGAATTCCTAATATGATCTACAATTATCAGCTATTGGCACTTCTAGCACCTTGTGTACATCTAACCGCCAGATCCGGCAGTGGCACAAACCTCATGGAATGAGCCATCCACACTCTTTGGAAGTCACAGAGACTCAAAGTTTCCAATTCCGTGAAGCATATACCAACCTAGAGTGACCATTTAGCTGACAAACACGACGTAGACTAGTTAGACTACCCTTTTTATATTTCCTTCTTTTGACATGCTTCCAGCTTAATGAGCCCATGTTCCTTCAGATTGATCACCAAGATTGAGACTAAAAAAATCTTCTTAATATCTAAGATTGATAATAAAAAAATGCCCAAAAACTCTACAGTTAACAAAGAAGTATGTTAAGCTCCACCAATCTCAGCAATTTGTTGTATCCATGTAAATCTAAACCTTCCAGTGAATAATAAGCATAATAAACTAGTACCAGGTTTCAGGTCACGATGTATGATCCCATGTGAGTGCAAGCATTCCATTGCACGAGCTATGTCAAGTGCAAACCCAATTGCCACACGCATATCCAAGCACCTTGGCCGCATGTTCAGCAAGTACTTTCGCAATGTCCCACCAAGAAGAAGCTCAGTGACTATGACCGTGACAGGTTCCTTGCAAGCTCCGATAAACTGCAGAAAAAAAAATATACAATAAAGAAATTGTTATGTGCCACTTTCACATATCGTGCTTGAATTAAACCCTCATAGGCATGTTGAAATAAAGACATCATTCAAAATCTGAAATGAAAACAGAAAAATAATTGCTTCTGATGGTAAAACAAAACAACCTTCACTAAGTTTTTGTGTTGAACTCTGGATAACATTGCAACCTCTCTTGCAAACCGGGCTTCCCTCTTGGCAATCTCCTCTGGCTTCCCTTTATTTACAATTTTAATAGCAACATTCTGATTCATGTACCTAAAAGGCACCCAATAAGCAAATCAGTGATATAATGCACCACAAACAGACAACAACAAATTAGCCATACTCTAATATTACAACCTGTGCAACATTAATCTGCTTTCGCTTCAGAAATACATGCATATTTTTCTGGAAAACCATTGCAGCATGGTTTTTCACACCAATAGTAATTCTCACAAATCAAAACTGAACTGTCCCTAAAATAACACAATTTTCACTTATGTAATTCACAGACAAAACCCCAATTCTTTCACTTTTTCTTCAAATAAATGACAAAAGGAAATTCATATGTTGCATATCTTAGCAATTGTTCTTCTCAGTGAATCAATAGCTACTTTACAAGAAACCATAGTTTAATTACAAATCCAGACACAATAATCATCCGAAGTTCAAAGATCGAGACTAAGACAGGAAAACCAAGAAATCAGGAAAGGTTGACTCACTTTCCTTCGTACACTTTGGCATGCGCACCTTCTCCAATCTTCGGCCCAACAAAAAGAAGCTTCGGATCAATCAACCACTTGGAGTCCAAATTGAACTCTTGCACTGAGTAGAACCCATTCCCAGATCCCATTTTCTTTCTCTCTCTACACCAATAAACGAGCTAGCGCATCTATTGACTAACAAAATCAAAACCTTGTAGTGCAACACATTTGAAGTAAGACCACATGTCAAAACAAAACCATCAGGCCATCAACAAGTTCATGTATTCTGCTTTTCAAGGCATAAACCTTATACGCAAAAGATGAAATAAATTAAAACCGGTCTTTATCTGGGAGGCAAACAACAAAAACCCTCATGTTTCCAGATAAATCCACTATCATAGACTCAGAATTAGACCTAGAAAAACCCAGATATATATAAGTAAAGACCAAACAGCTCTGTTTACATACAGAGCAGATCACTGTTTATTATAAAATGAAGATAGTATTAAAAAATCAAACTAACTCAATTGAAAACTTGAAATTAACAGAAATTCAACAAAGAACCAAGTTGGTTTTTGAGGCAATTTTCGTGTGGTGGGTCGAGTTTATTGAAGCTTCTCACCGCGTACTCTCTTCTGTACTCTCTGATCTGCAGAGATAAAGCCGCGGGGGAATTGAGTCAGACAGCAGCAAGACCCACTATTTACTTTTCTAATAAGAAATATTTTTTCACTAAATACTGACTAAGAACGATTTACCATTTTACCCGATCAAAGTGATAGTGGGTTAGTTCAAGCGGTTAACTTGTAACCTTTATTACGGTTAAATCACGAGGATATAAATATTTTAATCCTGACATAATGATACATTTTTGATCTCTTCTAGAGGAGGTTAGACGAAACGTAAATAGATTGATTCACACATCTTAATTTGTTGAACCAAAAAAGGGATCAAAATAAAAGTCGTTTGAAGTACGATGAAGTCGTGTCAAATTACAAATGAATCGAATCGAGATTGAGTTTAGTATGAGTTTATTTGGACTCATCTTGTTCTTTTTGTAGAAGAATACTTAATTTTAAGATTGACTTGTTAACCTTTCGTATAGGTTTGAACTCGGCTCAATAAACACATTCTTATTTTTATTATCGTGAATAGTCATTGTTCATCTCACTAGACAAACCGTCGTTGAGTTTGTGCTGTATTCAATCTCGAGTTTAAAGCTCGGTATAATTTATTTATAATTATCTTAAAGGAATAACTCAAATGATAACAAAGACGAACAGTAAATTTAAACGTTCTAACTTTAAATCTTGTCAATTTTTTAAAATTAGGCTACCAAATATGATATATTAAATGTTAAATAGCTTATATTTTCGAATCTAACGAATCAAACAAACTATTTTCTGAGTTGAACCCATTTATTAAAAGAAACTTCAAAACTAATCTCAATCTATTAAAGGGATGAATGAATTTTTATTAAAGACAAAATTGCATGTCAAATATTGGATTTTATATAGAATTATGCAATATTTTTATAATAATATAGAATAAACCTATTCAACAAGCACATGGAAATGGAACCTCCTCAGGGGACAATATCACTTAAGAAATTTATGAGGCTGAGAGTAGCCCTGTTTTTGGATTTGACTCATTTTATTTATTTGTTTCTTATTTGCTAGTGTATTGAAAATTTAAGTCTTAACAATTTTTTTCACTGAACCCGACACGAATTTGAGTTGAAGTTAAATGAAAATTTTTATTTTGCACTTTAAAAGATGTTTTAGTTTTCAATTTGTGCTTTTACGGAGTAGAATTCTTAAATTGCACACTCAAATATTATAAGATAGATACAATGTAACTCAATTCAAGGGTAAAATTTAAGATTGAGGATGTAATTTGAGCTTGAAATAGGGCCACATTTGCACTTGTTTTATAACATTGAAGATGCAATTTACAAATCCAATTCTTTAAGGGTATAAACTAAAAGTTACATCATTTTTCAAATTAGTCCTTAAGTTAATTTGGAATGATAATTGGAGGAATCCGTTAAGTTAAGTAAATAAGATGATATGAAGTTTATACTAAATTCAACTTCAAACTAAACATGAATTGTGTATTACACGAATTCAAAATGACATGAATTTAGCTAAATATAATTATCAATAAGTCGAATGTGAATTTAACTAAATTCAAACACGGCAATACTCATACTAAGACATGAGATGAACTCGACATAATGGTCAATTTCATTTCCAGCAATAAATTTTATTTTTATGATTAGATTAGTTAAAAAAATTAGGAATGAAAGATTTGATCATTATACCGAAATTAAAAATCACATATGTGCAAGTGATCATATTAAGGTTTCTATCCGCTTTTACTTCATAGTATGAAGGGTTATGAACTTCTTCCATGAGTCCATTATATGTTATGGCCCCAAAGATCACATTACTGTAATGCCCAATAAACTATCCCAGTCTCCATCGTTAGGGGTGTTCATACTATCTTACGGGTAGAGATTATGATATTCTATTTTCTTACCTGAAATTTTGTGGAAGAATTTTTTCTTGACCTATCCTATCCGATCAAGTGTACTAGTTCTACCCGGATTCTATCTAAAACAATCGGGTAGAAAGTCGGGTAAGAAATCAGGTGAATACTTATTTTTTAATTATTAATTTTAAATTATTTTAACAATTTAATTAAGTAATCTGCATCAATTAACTAACACAATAAATCAATAACACTAAAAAAAACACAATAAATTCAATAATACATAACACAACAAGAAAATCATAAACATCAATACATCATATATAAGAAAGTCATAAACATCAAAATTTCTAGATTTTTGAATTTTAATTTTTAATGATTAACATATGTATATATATGGGGTAGGATAGCGTAGAAATACGAAAATTTTGTAGGTATTCTACATTCCTATTCGATTTTTTGTGAAATATCAAAAAAAATTTTGTTGGCCTGCCCAATTTTTTCGAGAAGTTGATCAATAGAATCGAATAGAACAAAATAAGTTCAAAATTTAAGCACTTCTATCCGTCATCAATGGTCATAAAATGGCAATAGAACCGTTCAATACACTGAGAGTGAAAGCATAGACACAGATAGACTTGGTCAAGTACAAAGTTTCCTTCTCCATGGCCTTTGAATTGTGATTACATTGGTTGGGCTGTCGTTTTTACATTCAGCTTTTTTCAAATTTAACTTTTGAAAAAAAGTCAAATTACCATTCGTCTACACCCTGCTAGTCTCACACGCCATTCATTTATTAAGTGGTACCAAATAAGCTACTTTTTTTTTAATCTTAACAAAATTTAAAATATTAAGCCATCCATCATAATATATATATATATATATATATATATATATATATATATATATATATATATATATAATTTTACATCTCTAATTACACTCTTATATGAAATATTACAATCGATTACGCATAATTGTTACTTATCACAACTTGACCCCAAATAGTAATTGTTTTGGATTTGAAATTTAATTTTTTTTTCCCGACAGGCTGTGACAATCATTTCCTTATTATTTAGTCAACTTTTACATTTGTAGTTGATATGGGGATATATTTTTTTTTGTTGTCAAATTTGACCTAGAGTTTGAGAAAAGTTAAAAAAAACAAAGGACGTCCAGAGATCATTCTGATAAACTCTCACTTGTAGAATTATAAGACTTTTAACTATGCTCGTTACTCCTATCAAGAATGAACCTACCTAAATTAGCATAATGGTCAATCACCGAACCACAATATATTAAAAAGACAATTATTTATTTATGGAAGAAATTATTTTGCGTTTAGTTTATTTACGCATAATGAATTAACGATACTCGAAATATATTTAATTGGATGCGCAAAACTCACCAAATCCCTTGATAATCATTGTGAAATCAGATGAGCACAAAGTCTAGATATATATTATAACATTATACATTAGTACTATGATACTAAAAGTCTGATAAAAACATATGATTGACAATGTTAGTAGGGTGTGACGGTGCAAAATAGAAATAATATCATGTTTGACATCGAGCCTTATATAGAAATTTAATAAAATAATAATAAAAAAAAAATTCCACATTTTTTACTTTTCAACTAGCCATTTATTTATTTGGACACGAGAGAATGGAGGTGTTTGGAGTCATGTCGGTGTGCAACAGCCATAGAATTTTTGTGTGTCTTGAACTCTCAATCCTCAAAAGTAAAAGATATTCCTTGTAAAAAATTATTAATTAAAAATAAAAAATGATATTTATTTTAATATTAATTTTGTGATACTTATTATTTTTATTTACACATAACGAGGGTAATGACCCAAAGGTTTGAGTCACAAATATAATCTCTCTTTGTTACATAAATTTGACCCTCTTTAAATCGAGAAAAATATTCATTACAACGGTGATATATACCACATGACAAGGTGATTTGATATCACCAACAAACAATACTAAAACAAATAAGCAGATGAACACTAAAAAAATCAATAACTAATCTGTCATGTAAATAAATAATTTTTTACTCTTCTGTCATATAAGTCAAAGCGGAGTTCACTTTTCTCATTTGAGTTACACTGGATTGTTCCTACGTTTATACAATTGTAAATTTTAGTTGGATATGGTACCCATTTTTTAAAAGTAGTATAAGACCTTACATAAATATTATGCATATCTCTATAATCTTTTTAACAAAACTTGTATATATAAAAGTTGTTTGGTTGATAGTGATTTGATGTTGTTCTTTTTCGTAAAGAAAGATAATGTACTTTTCGGGAGTTGGACTTGTGAAGAATTTTTTGGCAGTCGGTGGTGGAGGTGGGGTTGGTTTAGGTTCGCCTTCCGGTGTTGACCTTTTGTTCTTGTACCTGTACACATGCCAACAAAGTCCCCATATCGATCAGAGATTGCTCATCGGACGACGGAGACAATTGTTTGACAAAAATGTCTTTGATTTTGGTCAAAGGTTTCAACCTCGTCCAGGTAAAGGCCAGTATTTTTGGGATGTTCTGTCTCTGTGTGGGCTTTTTCACTTGGAGGTGTGTGTGAGTGAGGGGCTTTTTCACTTGGATTCGGACTTTCAATTGTCTATTCTTATATCAAAGTCGAGTGTGTTACTATGAGTCATGTTACGGAATAAAACATTTCGCACTGGCATGAAGCTAGTTTGTTTTTGACCAAGCATCTTCAGGTCACGGAGTGTCCCTTTTTCCCATTTTTTTTTCTTTTATTGGAAAGTACTCTTTCTAGTATCTTGTTTTGTTACAAAACATTAAGTTGTGGTAATCCATAATATTGCATTTTCTAATACATAAAAGCAGAGAAATAAGAACCCATAACTGGATTGAAGCTCAAAACAAAACAAACCAAACCAAAAAAAAGTAAGAGATATTCATATGATAAATCTTACCATGTTGAACATTGATGGGTCTTCTTTAAAATAACTAAGTGTCCCATCTCCGCTGAAGAAAGGTGAAAAAAAGAATTTTTAAAGTTTGTCAGATCCTTGATATTATACAGAATCCCCCTAAAATTTATACACACATAACACTTAGACATTTGTCATCAATTATATTTGATATTCTATTTTTGATTGTAATATTTTTTTATCTAAGTATAATATTTTAAATATAAATGATCTAAATATTATACGCATACAAATTTTAAAGGGTCTGGATGTAATTTAATAATAGATATTTTAACAGACGTTGACAGTCGTGGTCTAAGTATTATGCGCATATAAATCTTAAGGGGTCTGTGTTTAATATTTGAAATACTAAAGAGACTAAATGATTAACTAACAAATCTCAGAGAGTTTGAGTATAATTTTTTTTTTAAAATAAAATAAAATAAATAAATCATATCGGAACAACGGATACACACAGTGGGGTAGGGTCTGGAGTTCTCCAAAAACTTACCTCCAAGTGTAGAACCTCTCGTTAATCCCACGAAATTGGCCTCCTGGTAACCTCGCTCTCTCCTCCGTATTGTATTGTATGTTCATACGAAACAAGCATGTGTAAAGGTCTCTCTCTCTCTCTCTCTCTCTTCCTCTGTGAGTAAAGATGGACTGGTCCTATTGCCCCTCATACCTTTAGATGGGCCAAAAGTAAGCCCACTTCCTCACTGGACCCAACTAACCACAAATTGAGCGGCCTTGGATTGGGAATGGTTAGTTGGGTTTGGATTTGATCAACCCACTTGTTGTGGGCTTCACTGCATGTGATGTGCTCAGCCCAAAATGTTTGCAAAAGAAACGTCATTTGGACTTAAAATGTTATTGTCAACGAAGTCGATCATTATCATTGATTTAATTGTGGGTCATAAAATCTATTGAAATCTATTACTAATTCAATGGTTGTAACTAATTAGGTATAACAAATCATCAGTATTTTAGATCTAAATATTAATATTTTTCATATTCACATATTCAATACACCCAAAAAAAGGAGTAATGCCAGATTCATGAATACCCCCCCCCCCCTCCAAAACAAAACAAAGGACTAAGGCCAGGTTCCTAATTCAATGTGTAGGGCTAAATGGCTAGCCTCTCGACTCTCGAGTGAAAACATCAGCACAGCCGTTGGCTTCCCGCTATCTGTTGGTGGAGAAAATGTTGAATGTAATAATATATTACGGCATTATTGACAAGTAATATTATTAATTAAAAATAAACTATACAGAAATAGTGAATCCTATTTAACTCAATAACCATCAATAACTTTCACGTCGAACAGCTAATACCTAGTTCGTTGGGTTCACCAATCCGATCTTGTTATTTAGGATTGGTTGGCAATACCACGTGTGACGTGGTCATATGACTATGAGAATTTAAGACCGTCACGAGGGGCCTATAAAATTTATTGAACAAAAAATTTGGGCCTTCGTTTGGTAAAGGAAACCCAATTAGGCCAGGCCACACTTGGGCTGCACTGAAATTAGGCGTAAAAATTGTGGAGTGGAGTAAATATTTATTACAACCGGGACATCACGCGATCAATGCTACCCGATATCACAATTCAATAAAAGATTAATGTTATTGAGACATAATTTACTGGCCTAATTTATTATGGTCTTTGGATTGATTGTGGACTCCATCAAACATTGGAACTTGATATTAATCCAATGGTTTCAATGAAGCCACATCATTAGATCAACAAATTATCTCAAATTTTTAGGTCTAAATAACATTTTCTTTCAATAAAAACATAATAAAATAAACCCCACTTTTTTACATGTGACGGCTACCAGATAACACGAAAATGGTAGTTATTAAACTATGTGAAATCACATTCTCACTTGTAATATTTTTATTACAAAATAATACTACGTGGTTATGATAATATGATGTCATTGTTGCAATTAGTATTGTCTCGGAGTGGGACTGCATGGCTAACAGTTGTTTCTATCATATGGGAAAGAAAGCAATGTTAGTTATCCCAGTTTATCTTTATCTGCCAATCCCAATAGCTTATTGGAGAGCTGATTCAAATAGACGATTGTAAATAGAAAACGTTGCGGTTTCAAAAAAATAAAAATGAAAAAAGCCCACATTATTCAAAAGGGTATGAAGGAAGCACACCTTTCCAAATTCCAAGCCCTTATCTTCTGTTTAATGAAAATCTCTTTCTGCATTCATGCTTCAATAAATACAGATTCCAAATTGGAGTGCGCAAAACCTCTGGGAGTGCGCAAAACCTCTCCTATCTACACATTCAGTGAGTTCAGGATATGGCACTGGAAAAAAAAAAATTTGTATCATGTCCAAAAATAATCTTTAGGTGTTGATCTTGATTTTGGTTGTTTGTAGTCATTAACTATTGAAATATTAAATAAAGTACAATAATAAAAACTTTCTACGTGTAATTTTGTGATTGGATGAAAAAAAATAAAAGAGATAACAATGTCAAAAATTTAGGCTCTATTTGATTTTTATTTCAAAAAACAAAATCTGAAAATTGTTTTTAGAAAGAGTTTTAGAAAACTATTTTTTGTATCGTAGAATTTTTTGGTTATATGATTCCAAAAATAACTTTATGAAATAAAAAATAATAAAACTTACTTGGAGAGTAACCAAAAAACAACAAAAACAAAAGTCTAGTGATAATGATAGTGGTAGTGGTGTGGTGATGGTGGGAGTGGTGATAATGGTGGTGGTATTTTTTAAATTCTGAAAAAATTATTTCAAAAAATGCATAAAATAATTTTAACTTATTTTTTTTTAAAAAAAAATAACTGATCAAACAACTCTGCTCCTATAAACAGTTCCCGAAAATATAAAATAATTTTTGAAATGCAAACAGGCCGTACTTTTTAGAACCGAAGCCTAAGCTCATAACCCGTGAGCTCGATTTAATTTCCTCTATCCAAATGCTCATACCGAGGTAGGTAGGCCCAACGGATGCAAAATTAATGACACTCATAATCCTCAACCTGCTTCCTCCCTTATAAAGCCCAAAGTTTTCTGAGATAGCCAACCAACTCACACACATCTTCCTCCTTTTGAACTCTTGACAAATTGTTGAAAAATGGCAACCACCGCGGAGGACATCAACAGCAAGGCAGAGATGGTTGAAATCGAGCCCAAGACCGGTGTTGCTATCAAGTTGGAGACGTCGAAAGAAGAGAAGGTGAATGGTATCAACCCCAAGATAGCAAGTGGTGAGACAGGAAAAGAGAAGATGAATTGTGAGAACGGAAAGAAACCTGCAGAAGAAGAACCAAAGAATGAGAAAGTTCCCAAGGAGGCAACGAATGGGAAAGAACCCAACGGTGAGGGAAAGAAAGAGGAGGTGCCAGTTGAGGTCGAACCAAGACAGGAGTCTCCTTTCCAGTCAAGTTGGATGATGGGAAGCACCTGAAAGCTGTAGGTTTGAGGAAGAAAAGCATGCTTGGCTTGGGCATCAAAATTTATGGCTTCGGTATTGTTCCATCAAAATCCCAATTACCTCACACGCGTTTAGTCTACTTAGATGCAGATGCTACAGATGCAATCGCAGTTAAAAGCAATGCAACACTGATAGGGATTTTTTAAACAACATAGCCTAGTGCACAATTTTCCTGCAAAAGTAGGGTAGTCTTGATCCACATAAGATATTTTCATGGCTCGAACTTGTGAACTCATGTCACAAGGAAATAATCTCTCTAAAGATCTGCAATGCTAAATACTTGCATAGTCATGAAAATATAATATCCATGGTCGAAAGCAAATAATTATACAACTCATTTTATGATCGAAATGCTGTCCTAACCAGATAACAACAGGCCAACGCATATCTTGTAATCTATGATTTAACCAAAAATTTGCATTTATCATTCTTCAACTGCAGGGATATATGCAGATGACGAGAAACTGAAAGATATTCTATGGTCAAAGATAGGGAAAGCCCCAGCAAAACCTACGAAGGAAATGTATCAAGTAGTAATTGACAGTGATTTGGGTATGATGGTGCGACTGGTAATCGTGTTTTCTAACCTTACCATGAGCATGATAAGAAAGAACTTCGATGAAGGTCTGGGAGCATCCATCAAGAAACTCACTGGTGTAAAGAATGAAGAGCTCACAAAAAGGTAATCTACAGCTTTAATCACTTATTTATACTTGGCTACTAGTTCAAGCATGATTTGTTGCATTTGTTGATGAAGGATCATGGGTGAGGCATCAGATGACATAAAGCTGACATCTGGTTCTGTGATTGAGATTTCTCGTTCTCCAGGATTCATACTACAAACAAAAGGTAAGAATACAAAGGTTTAATGTTGAATACTAGCATACTATAAACATTTTGTTAGCATACCAATATTGAGAAAAACTGGTTTTTGGGTGCAGTCAAGGGCGAAATAGTAAGCACAGTCGAAAGTGAACTACTTTGCAGGGCCTATATCCACATGTATTTGGGAGATGATCCATTTGACAAGGAAGCAAAGGAAAATTTTGGGATGTCCATGCTTTCTCTCTTCTAACAGAACTTTCTAGTAGTTGTCTAGGTTTTGTATGGAATAAGGCCCAAGTCTACTTTGTACTGGTTGAATGCTTGCTCAAATAAGAAGGATGGTGATGAGAATGTGACAGGTCTCATAAGTGGGAGTGTTAATCCAATTGCAATATGTTTTGTGGAACTTGATCAGTGTCCATATTTATGTAGTTTTGTGGGTGGGAGGTGGGGTGTGCACCTGAACTGTTATCTAGGGCTGGTAATCGAGCTGTTTGCGAGCCTAAATCGAGCTGAATTTACACATAAACGAGTTGACTCGTTTAACTATTTACACATAAACGAGCTTTAACAAATGTTCAAGATTGGCTTGATTACCAGCCCTACTGTTATCCATGGCAAGTGTCCATCCAACAATATCTGATACAAATGGGCATTCGTTACTATCAGAAATAGGAAGATAGGATATTCTTGTCAAACCAGATCAATTCACATTTGTCACCATCAAGGTTTTCCTCACAATAACAAAAAGGCTAAATGAGGATTTTCTCGCTGATCAACTCACAAATCTGGAATGTTATGTTACATATACCACACACAGGTTGTCTTCAGATGTTGACCACTCACTTTAAGAATCCTAAACAGCACAGCTATTGTAATATGCAGACAACAGTGCACATTTATATTGTACATGAAATAAGGCAAGAGGTATAATACCGGAGAACATCAATTTACTCTTCAAATGATATATCAGCTCAAGCCTTGCAGAACCTTCCGAGGATCCAACTGCCCGCTACAATAACTTGAGGACACAGTAGAGAGCTCTTGACGACCCTTCCACTCTTCAAAGGGTTTCAAATTAATTGGAGTTTCAATAGCAGCAGAATCCACACACAGCATACTTTTGTAATCATCATCCCCCAAATCTGGGAGAGCCTTGGCCTTTTTGTCCCAAGGATTCCACACAACTGGACATTATACCCACATGATATTTAAGTATAAGCAACAGGCAGAAAAGTCAAGATATGGAAATGAACGAACTTCAAAGCAATAATAATAATAACCTGCATCTGGCATGCCTTCTTTACGCAGTACCAGGGTTCTTTTCTTCTCATGGTCTATTATGGCAATCTTTGTCGGTGTGCTCAAATACACTCGATCAATCTAAAAGGAAAGAAAATATAAGAACATAGATGGTTGAGAAGTTTAATATCACAGACTTCATTGTTCCAAACTACATTAAGGTGCAAAACTGAATAAGAAGCTGTGGTTTGATGCAAAGGTAGTTCATATCAACCTTTGAGTTCACCTCTAGTTGCCTATTAAAAGACACTTCAAGATTATGAACAGAAACAGAGTACGAAGCAGTACCTCACCATCAAAGGTAATTGCATCTGCCTGCTCTGTGTACCTTTCTCTTTGCAACAAATTATCAAAGTAGTCGAGTGTCTCCAAGCCCTCAACGCGCACTTCACTGCAAATTAAACTGCATCATGCAACCTAATTGAAAAGGATAATAATAAAGTATCTCCCATGCTTAGCTGTAAAAAGTAAAGCAATTTTATAAAATTCTCAAGGTAGTTTAAATACCATTAAAATATTACTGCAGACAGGAACAAAATTTCACTCACTTTCGTTTAAACAAGAAAGAACCATTTAAATCACAAAGCAAACCTTATATCAGATACAGATAAGTAGTTACACAGTGCAAGCATAAACGGAAAGGCCTTAGCATCTATGTTTCTCACGCGAGGGATCAATGTGAGCTTGCCAGCACTGAGAGAAATACGAAGCCGTAACTCAAATCTACATAAAGCCACCACAAAATCAATATTGACTCCATCCTACCATGGTATATAGCCAACCAACCAACCAACCAACCAAACAAACAAACAAACAAACAAAGGTATAACACTAAAATACAACCATACCTATGCGGCCATGTTTTTAGATCCTCTTCTGCAGATTTCAATAGAATATCTACAGTTGATTGATTATTAGCTGAAGGCAAAGGTGAAGGATCATTATCCAATGACCACAATCTGTTCCTTGCAAATCCATGTTGCTCCAGCGAACCTAAATTTGCAAACTACAATATGCATATAACACTTAATACATAATTCCAGAAAAGTATATGCAAAGAATTTTTTGCTAGGTTCTGTTAGCAGCCAACCTGTGGGAAGCAGATGGGTATTCCACCCCTGACAGCTTTTGGTGGTTTCCGAATAGCCTGTGAAACAGAAGCAAGACCTCATATTTATTATATGGAAGGAAAGCAGCTCAAACGTTACTCTCCTATATCAGTAACTCGGGCAAGGAAAATTGTTCTTCTCAAGCTAACTTGACATGTTTCTAGCAATAAGTTCAGTGCCGTACCAACTGATACAAAAGAGAAGAGTAAAAAGCCAATGCAGCACTACATAAGAAAAGCGGAATGCCAAATTTGAAAACCATGGAACAAAAACAAGCTTCGAAAGATTCACCTCGCTAAGAACTGTTTGGTCTTTCAGATTGTTTTATTTTAAGCCTCATAACCACACTTTCTAGTTATGGGCCATCCAACTTAATTTGTAATCTTTTGACAAGATCAACAAACGCAATCCAAAGGAAATAGAAATACTGTAGCATTTTGTCAACTACTTTTTCACAATGCAATTTTGTTACATTAATCTGGAGAATGATTCCACATACAGGAGAGCCTTCACTTCCAATTTCTCTACCAGTGATTGTCTTCCTAGGAAGCACGGATACTTCCCAGAAGGGTGCCGTGGTAGAGTCGAACACGAACACGAACACGTGTCGGACACGGCTACAAGTATTCTGAATAGTGAACTCAGTCGGACATAGCCAGAATACGTCTAGAATAGGGCCAGGATACTTCTAGGACACTGCTAGCATATAGCGAGGAATTTTTTTTAAAAAAAAAATAATTGTTGACTATTAAAAAAGATGTTATTTATATTTTTTTAATATAATTTTCGTTATGTAACTTATATACTATGAATGTTAGTGGATGTAATGATGTTTGACGAAAAGAATAGATATTTATTTTGATCTATTTTCAATTTTAATTAGTAAATTAATATTTGTCAGGTAAAAAAATTAATATTTACAACTCTATTATTATTTAAAATATATATTATATTATTTTAATAGCCGTATCCTCGCCGTACCCGTGTCTTATATTTTTGAATTTTGTTGTATCTCTGTATCCGTATCATATCAAATACGACACTTGTGTCCGTATCCGTGAAAAACAATTTAAATTTAATGACTAAGGTGAAACAATTTCAGCTTGACCGTTCAAAAGCAGCTAAACTGAAATAGCCAGAAAGAAGCCATGTAAATGGTATTCCCAATATTTCAACATAGGTGATTGTGATGCATCAGAAAGAGAAGGAAGAAGAAACAAAAAAACAGTTTCTAAGATGTAAGACTGGTTCGCACTGTTTTATATCAACATGGTGTTAAAACGTAATTAATCAAATCTGAATTCCAAATCGTGAAGAACAATAATGGGTTCACCTTGTTGCTCATAAAAAGCAGTTCTTCTCTTCGCTCATTCTTCCAAGAAACAACCTGCCCACCGTAGAGAAACACCTAGACCAATTGTTGAGGAGTTAGACGGCATTAACACAAGCTATGAAACTCAACTCTCAGATTCATTCAACCAATGTAGTTAACAAAAACAGTTGGCAATTAATAGATCTGTCTTCTTAAATTTCTCACTACTGAATCATTGTTAAACCTTCCAATTTAAGTACAATTTGTCCCACAAGAATACCATCAAAACAAAGAATAAACCTAATCTACTTACATGCAATCGCAATTGATGTACAAACATTAAATACAACGAAAAAAAAATATGAAAAAAACACATGCAATCTCGTTCAAATTCAATGGTTTATTCTCAACTTAACTCAATCAATCAAAAACCTTTAACCAAAAGGACGAACCTCGGCGGTTGATCCGGTCGGCTCAATCAATATAATTCGAGGCCATCCATCGGCGTCGTGAATTATGTTCGACGACATCGCACTCGACCTCAATGTTGCCCTTAAAACCACACACAAATGGATATACTTTCCCTTTTCCTCCACTCCAACAACACAAACTACAAAGGCGAAGAAAAACAAAATAAATCGAATTATAAACAATTAATACCAATGAAGAACAGACAAAGAAAGAAAGGTCTGACAAAAAATGGTGCTTTTGGAAACCCTACTCAACAATTACAGGCAATTGAGAATAAAAAATCGGAATAAAATAACAAAAAATCCAAACGATTGACGAAGACGAACATGTCGACGAAAAAATTTATAAAAAAACCGCCAAAATTAAGAGTAATCTTACGTTTGAGTGTGTTTATTAAATGTTATATATTACTGGCATCGGCGTCGAGTGTGAATAACAGACCAGCGACTCTGTTTGGCTCACGAAAACTTCTTGTAAACAGAGATATTATAAAGCAATAAATATTGTGGATATTACATTTACCACCCTTTAACAATTTCTTTTGTTTATATTTGGCCCCTGATATTCCAACTATAACACTTTTGAAGCCTGAATCTCATGACTTGAATGTTACATAAAATTGGAGGTTTTTTTTTTTAATTTAATTGCCATATATTACATTAATAGATATTAAAAAAATTACTGAATTCACTAAAATTCAATTGTGATTCAATTAATCTTGTATAACGTATGCCAATTCTTACTTAGTTTTATCATGAAATTTTAAGAAATTTTTTGTCTTTAACCTGCGAAAACAATCTAAAATGGACCTTGTTTCATTGTTTTAGCTTAGCCTTCGGCTTATGAAGTTTCAACACGGGCCTATATATCTCTACAACCTTCCGCCAAGAAAGATTGCATCTACACTAGCATGGATTCCCTAAAGTCCTTTTTTCCACTGCCATGTTAACTCGAATCCAAAAACAAAGAATAGGAATGATTAGGTGTTGTTTTTGCTACTATCGTTTGGTCTTGTTTGGCATGAGGATGTGGTATGTCTACAACTAGTATATGAATGTCAGACAATAGGTAGGTAGAAAAATATGATTAGTCAAAAATACCCCGTTGGCACGGACATGCGTGGGTCACATTAGGCTTTCTGTTTCAAATTCTAAACAACTTTGGATTGAGGGACTTTGATTGAAATGCAAATCAAACTTAAGAAAGTGATTATTGTAATTGGCATCAAATAGAAATGAAGAGATACTTAGAGGGTGGTAAATATAATTTTCCTGTGTGAACAAAATTTTCTAAAGACAGCCCTTACCACAATATTCTTTACATCGGATGCTCCGTTCTTTTGTGTCCTTTTCAGATAGCAGCGGACCTAAGCTAACTTTTGTTTGGTTCCTCTTTGTCAATGTACTTACAGTGGTATCCAGAGATTCGGCCATGTCAGCAACTTTCTGGCTATATATATCCTACTTATTACTCATGGAGGAAATAATCAAACAAATTATTAATTGATGATACCTAAACAAATCCAAGCCTTAGCTCGGTACATCTAGTTCTAGTTCTGACAACTGAGCACGGACTCCGAAGTTCATGACTACGGTCTCAAGGTGCACAGATTGGGATCCCTTGTCAACAAATCTATCATTAACGATGACAACGATGGTTGACATCTTTCAAAAAAATCACGTTACATTCAAAAAGTGTAACTCACAATAATTCAACATTTTGGCAAATGAGTTGCGGTCGTAGAAACACCATCGACACTGATTATACAAAGAAAATGTCGATTACAAGAAAGTGACGAGATCACACAAGGAATCACACAATAGTCTGAAAATTATAAAAAGGGATCAAATCCTTCACAATGCAGAGAAGCAATTTTATCTGCAATATAACCCTGTGTAATTTCCTCTCCTGATTAACAAAAAACTCTCTCAGGAGCAATAGACTTCATTAGAGTGGATTAACCGAGATTTCGAACTGATGAACCACTATAAATCTTCTGTTAACTGTTCCTCAAATTGCATTGCCAAAACACGAAGCCTAAAAGCTCTAACTGGATATTCCAGTGATTTCTGAACCTCTAAAGAACACGCTTCTACTCAGCTGTGTAGAATATTACTATTATTAATCATAACTATATTTATATTCACATCTAAAATTAAATCACAAAATATAAAAGAAAGAAAGAGAATTAAGCATTGAATATAGGGGATGAGCGACGGTAATGGTGGTGGGCGATGGGCGGTAGTGGTGGCAATAAGATACGGTAATAGTTTTAATAAGCAACAACGACCTTGATGGTGGTGTCAGTCATGAATGGTAACGTTGATGATGGTGGTAGATTTTGGATGACGATGGTGTAGTGGTAATCATAGGTGACGACGGTGGTGGTTGTAGGTGTGGGTGATGGGTGATGACGATAGTGGTAGTGGTATCGAATGACGATAATAGTGGTAGGCAATGTTATCAGAACTGGATCGATCATCGAACCGGCAAAGGGACCGGGTTAATGGTTCACTGGTTCAATCGTTGGGTCAACTGGTCGGACTCAGTCATATAATAAAAAAATATATATATAATAATTATAAAACTTAATAATTTAGCTAAAAAATATAAAATATGTATAAAATACATAAAATTTGCCATAAAATTAATGAAATTAAGTAACAAAGTGGGGGTTATTGTATTTTAAAGCAAAATAAAGAGGTTCAAGTAAATTATAAAGAAAAAAAAGGGGTATCATTTATAATTTTTTCAAGAATAAGATTAAAAAAAATTAACTATTTACTGATTTAGGGTAAAAAAATTTATTTATGTAATTTAATTTTTAAAAATCGATTTTTGTTAAAAATCAGTTGATTTTTTGGTTTTTGTTAGAAATCAGCCGATTTTTTGGTTTTTAGCCGGTTCGCTTCCTTATACGGTTCAACTAAGAAACCAGACAGGTTAGAGTCCCGGTTTACGGTTGACCCGGTCCGACTGGGCGGTTCGGTCCGATTTTGATAACAGTGGTGGTAGGTATGGTGGTGGTAGGTGACAATGAGGGTGACAGAGATGATAGGCGAGGACAAGTGGTGGTAATGGTAGGTGTGGTGAGGGGTGGGTGATAGTGGGTGACAATGACGACATTGGCGACGAAGGGCGACGGCGGAGGTAGGATGACAGTGGTAGTGACAATAAATATAAGAGTGAGATAATGATGGGGGCAATGGTGATAACAATCGGTGGTGGGTGACAACGACGATGGTGGAGGTGGTGGTGGTGGTGACAATAATGGTGATGAAATGTTTTGTAGAGAAGTAATTTTAAATAAGTAGAAGTTATTTTTGTTTACTTTTACTTATTTAAGTGATAAAATTATTTTTGACTTATTTACAAGTAATTAAAATAAGTTGTTTCAAATACTACTTATTTTTTTTAAAATGTTTATAAGAAGTCATATATTCTAGAAGCACTTTTGAATTGTTACTCGAAACAAACCTTTAGGGAGCCTATTTTTTCTATTAAATTTGAGGAGTTAATAATAGCCGTTAAATTAATTTTAAAGTAAAATTTAAAACGATCTAAACTGTGAAAAACAAAAATCAATTCTTTATGTTAAACTTTATTATATAGATAGATTACAATTATAACCTATTATGATTAAAAAGAGAGGTACTTTTGTAAATTTGTGGTTGATGAAAATTTGAAAGCCAAATAGGTGAGTTTTGTTTTGTATCTTGGAAATCTATTATGCTCCATTTGATATGATAGAAAGTTTGAGGGATAAATAAAATATCATGTGTTGATAAGGATGAAAAATAGAAAGGACGAAAAATGAATGAATTAACTTTTCTTTCAACTCATCAAAATTATTCATTCCAAAATCGGATAAAAAATTAATTATTTGTCTTGAGATGTATTTTATTTATCTATATATTATGTATACATTAATTTCATACAAAAATACAATAATAAAATATGTGTATATATATATATTTATAAAATTTAAAAATAAACTTAAAAATAAAAAATAAAAAATAAAAAATTATTTTTTCATCTTTACTAGGGGCGAAAATTTTCGACCCAACATGATGATACGACTCGAGCTCGACACGAATTTTATGACACGAATTTAATTATAACTCGACAAAATCTTGAAAATGACCTGACTCGGGAATAAAAAATATAAAAGACTCATAATTTTATTACTCAACACGAATTTGACACAACACGACTCGATTGTTACCCGTAATCTTAGGCAGCACAAAAAAAAAATTAGTCATTTTTATTTTTCATCCATCCAACTAAACACAAATGAAAGAAAGTGTATCATTCCTATTTTCCGGATAGAAAGTGTATCCTCCTATTTTCTATCCTTCCTACCAAACGGAACATTAGTCTTTTTATATCTATATTTTTCATGTATCTTTATGTGTCAGGGATTTCATGCCTATGTTTCCTTTTTTTTTAGTGGGTAAGAATTTGGTAAACAATAAATGTTGGGTTTTAGAGCAATATGTTGTGGTTTGGTTTCTACTTTGAGGCTTCTTTTCATAATGTTGGAAAATATGGTATGTGATATAGGTGTTTAAACATTAAGGCCACTGTCCTGTCCCATAATAGTAGCATGTATTTTTGCTTTCTTGGGTGGCTATTGGTGCAGATAAAAGGAACTGTGTACTGCGGGCTGAGAAGATGAATGTGTGAAATGGCTTCATTTTAGAAGGACAAAAAGAAGAGGGTAAATAGTAAATAACTTGCAGGGATGCAAGTAACTGTCGTTGATTCAGCACAGTAAGAGTCCCGGGTCTAATAAATTAACCCTAAATAGCATTCCTCGTCTTCCAATTACATCAAGTTTCAATATTTAGGCTGTTGGGTGGTGCGATAGATGAAAATCGATGAGCTTTCACCCCCTCACATTCCATTTTGGAATGTCACTGGTTATCAGCTCTTAAACGTATATGATCCGACGGAATGTTAATAGATCCAATGAAAAATGTACTCAACTGGACATGTTTGCAGTGGTACCATATCGTTTCGTAGCGTTTGACAAGAACCTTGGGTTTTTCCCTCCTTGTTCGCCTACAAATGTTGAAGCATCTATATGAGGAGGTGGGAACTGCCGATCAATCTCTTTGAAGCATGTAACAATGGCAAATCACTCACACAGCTGCATTCTCTTATCATCAAATTGGGTCTTATGCAAAACAATTTCGTGGGGGGCAAACTAAACTCTCTGTACGCTAAATATACCTCTTTCGAAACTGCACGTAAGTTGTTCGATGAAACGCCTCTCCCAACTTTATATATCTGGAATAACATCCTCAAGAGCTGCTGCAGAGAAAAACTATACGAAGAAACTCTATCTCTCTTTTCTTCTATGATAAATGATCAAAAACCCGATTTTTATACTATACCCATTGTACTGAAGGCATGTGCCGGGTTGCGGGCTCTTGATTTTGGCAAAATGGTTCATGGTTTTATCAAGAAGAATGATGAGATTGATTCGAACTTGTTTGTTGGGTCGGCAATGATTGAACTATACTCCAAATGTCGAATGTTGGATGATGCTTTACGTGTTTTTGAGGAATATACTCAACCAGACATTGTATTGTGGACTACCATGATTACTGGATTTGAGCAGAGTGGTGATGCTGTAGAAGCTCTGTCCTTATTCACGAGAATGGTAATGCTGGGGCGTGTTTGTCCGGACGCTATAACCCTTGTTAGTGTTGTTTCGGCTTGTGGGCAGTTGTTAAATTTAAAGGCCGGAATTAGCGTGCATGGTTTTGCGGTTAAGATGGGGCTTTATAGTGGCCTATCATTGTCCAATGCTTTCTTGAATTTATATGCAAAAACGGGCTGTGTCAATGCTGCGTCCAATTTGTTTAAGAAAATGCAAGAAAAAGATGTGATTTCCTGGGGTTCTCTCATTGCTTGTTATGCTCATAATGGGGCTGCTAAGGAAGCTTTAGATGTTTTTAGTGAGATGACACATAAACGAGTTGAACCCAATTCAGTTACTGTTATCGGTGCTTTGCAAGCGTGTGAAGCAACTTGTAATTTAGAAGAGGGTAAGAAAATCCATGAAATTGCTGCTCGGAAAGGGTTTGAGTTAGATGTCTTGGTTTGTACAGCTCTGATTGATATGTATATGAATTGTGGTTCCCCTGATGAAGCAGTCGAACTCTTTCATAGAATGACCAAGAAAGATGCAGTTTGTTGGGCTGCTTTGTTATGCGGATGTGTTCAAAATGGAATGGGAGGCAAGTCAATGGGAATATTTTGCAATATGCTGTCCAGTGGTATCCAACCTGATGCTGTTGTTATGGCGAAGATTCTCACAGCTTGTTCAGAACTAGGGATTCTTCAACAAGCTTTTTGCCTTCATGGTTTTGTCATCAAATGTGGCTTCAGCAATAATGCTTTTATTGGTGGTTCACTTATAGAATCTTACTCAAAATGCTGTAGCTTAGATAATGCTATTAAGGTTTTCGAAGGAATTAATGACAGAGATATTGTTATTTGGAGCTCAATGATTGCAGGTTATGGAATGCATGGCAGAGGGAGGGAAGCCCTAGAATTATTTGATCAGATGGTTAAGAATACAACAATTAGGCCTAACAATGTAACATTCCTTTCAATTTTATCTGCTTGTAGCCATGTTGGTTTGGTTAAAGAAGGGATTGAATTATTTAATATGATGGTTCATGAATACCAACTGATGCCCAACTCGAAGCATTATGGCATAATGGTTGATCTGCTTGGCCGCACTGGAGAGTTGGACAAGGCTATGGGCATTATTAACCAAATGGCAGTCCCTGGTGGGCCCCATGTCTGGGGGGCCTTGCTTGGTGCATGTAGGATTCATCAGAACACCGAGATGGGAGAGGTTGCAGCAAGGAATCTTTTTCAGTTAGACCCTGATCATGCAGGTTATTACATTCTGTTATCAAATATTTATGCCAGTGATGGAAAATGGGATGATATGACAAAACTTAGAACTTTAGTCAAAGACAAAATGTTGAAGAAGCTATCTGGTCAAAGCAGGGTTGAGGTCAGAAGTGAAGTCACCATCTCATAACTAATGGCAGATTTCACCCTGACTCTGAATTGATTCACCGGCAGCTTAGAAAATTGGAGGAAATGAGAGAGGAAGGATATGTTGCTGCTATAAATTTTTCGCTACATGATGCAGAGGGAGTTTTAGAGCTTTGAAGTGTGGATATGGGAAGTACTTTTCTAGCCAGGGCTGTTCCAGATTAATGCTCATGGATCTCTGCTGATTGCTGGACAATCCATCCACTTTCCAGATTGGTTTCCATTAAGTTGAGTTCGATTCCCATGTGTGCTTTAGCCTTACAGATTTTTTATTGGAAAAAAGATAGGATATCAGATCACTCTCTGTATGGCACTTGCCTATCAAAAATTGGTGGTTAAAAGGAAACCATTGGGTCCTTGACTGTGGGTTTTTTATGGGAAGAGTGCTTTCTCATCTCACTTCTTAACATGGTCAGTGTTTTAATCAATCAGAAGTTCTATGTTAGCAAAGAAGGCGTCATTAGAAGTTTGTCCAGGCTGGCCCTGATATCATGCCTATTTTCTTATCTGGTTTTGAACCAGAGCATGATATAGTTGGGCATTTTGTAGCTGAGGGAAGCATATCTTATCGTCTGCATATCATGCTAAGCAGAGAGCCATTTTTATTCAACTTAAGCAGGCAAGAGTGAAAAAGGAGAAGCCATTGGACACAATTGTTGTTTGTGAGGAGCCCATCAGCCCAATCCAATTTCACTTGCATTGAATCAGGTAAAATCACTCGGTCTCGCTTCAGATTTATTTCTTTTGGTGCTTTCCTCTCCATTAGACCATATTGTATGGGCTTCCCCTGTTTCTAATTTGTGTTTGTTCATTCCTTCAGATTATACAATCCCAGTTATCCATAGAGATGTTGCTATATATTGAGCCATCACTTTGGGATCAGCTGTGCCTTTGATGACAGAAATTGCTCTCTCATTTTGCAAATTGCAATCCAATACACATCTTGAAGAAGTTCTCTGCCTTGTTGATCAACATCTGCGAGGATGGTGCAAAATGACTTAAAATAGTGTGCCAGACATAATCTTTTGTTGCTTTTTTAAGGAGGTGATAACCATCTTCTTGACTGGGCTTTAAGCTCGCAAAAATCTTGATCGTTGATATTCATAGGCGATCTCACTCTTATGGCATACCTGCTTAAACTGGAGGTCTTCAGAGCATTCATTTTATACACAGATAGCCTTTTGATCCATGGAAAATTTCTCCTAAACAGGATTTTAGCACTTTGTTATCGGAATCATCTGAATGGAAGACAAGAGCTTATGTTTATACGCGTGAATATCCAAAAACATTGATTTCGCAATCTAGAAGTGACAGTTTGAACATCTATATGCTACAACTTCTTTATCTTTCTGTGCTCCCACTCAGATACTTAATGCTTTTATAATGATCTTGTATCTGCTTCCGGTACTTCTCAAAGCCGCTGATCTGTATGTGCTGCTGCTGCCACAAATTTGGATAATCTTTCTCTAACAAGTATTGTGCTTGGCAAATTAAATGGCCTATGTAGTGATTCCTTCGTTATGTGATACCAATATTACAGGCAAACGTAGCTCATTCTAAAACATCAAAAAGGCACCATTTTTTTCGTTCGTAGGAAGGAAAGATGGTTGGCATCTTCCTTGACAGGGACGGGAACAGCCTTCGGGCTTACCTGTTACCAACACATCCGGTTAAGGCTTCCCACTTTGGTGGGTCTTCTAACCCAATTTTTTTAAAAGAAGAAAAAACGAAATCCTAAACTTTCAGAATCAGCATTCTAAGGGAGATTTTGGGTCCATTGATTTATTACCACTACCTTTATCTATGAAGCTAAAAAGGCAGTCGAAGATCTCTTCATTTGTCTCATACTTAGATTCAGAGAATTATTCAATATAATTTTAATTGGAATTAAATAATGAAATTTTTACCAAGTTTAATCGACAAGAGAGATAGAATCTGAGAAAGGACCGGAAAAATATAACGGAAAAAGAATCTATTTTACTTAAATCCTTTCTTACCACTATTTTAAAGGCTAATCATAGACATATATTAAAAGCATATACACCTTAGACATTTTTAGAATAGGGTCTTCAAAATTAATTGAACATAACGATACTATTAGATTAAAACGAGCGGCTAAAATAATCTTTATAATCTATCAGTATTGTTAAAAGCGGCTAACACGGACTGCAGCTCTATTGCACTAGCCCAAAGATTTTTTCTAGTAACCATGCAAGTCGTTGAGTCTGTGCCTCCGAGTGACTAAAAAAAAAATATTGATTAAGCCGCTGTAATCATCTCTTGAAGGTCCTAAAACACAAGTATTTCTCTGTTGTTACTTGGTGATTCAGTGGCTTTTAGCTCGAATCATCATTTTGGATTGTACAGTTGAATGGGAACCCTCTTTTGTCCACTTTTACCATTCAACATAGCCGTCGCACTTCGCAACCGTTTTTCATACTTTAACCACTTTTCCACCTCCATATCTTTGTCTCCAAGTTCTCAGCAATTGATCCACGTTAAATCCGTCAATGAGATTGCTTTCTGTATCTCTTCCGCCTTGCAAAAGTGCACCAGTCTCGGTTCTCTCAAGAAAATCCATGCAAAGATCTTTGCCTTTGGCCTGCAAGATGACGCACATTTATCAACAAAATCATCCCTTTTGTACATCTCATTCAATAGCGTTGATGATGCAAATGTTTTATTCGAATCTATACCACATCCGAGTTGTTACCTGTGGAATATTATAATAAAGGGTTATGCCACTGAAGGCCAATTTGGCCGAGCATTAGGATCATATGTCAATATGATGGAAAAGGGTCTAACACCAGACAAGTACACTTTCCCTTTTGCTCTCAAATCTTGCGCTAGATTAGCAGATTTGCAAATTGGAAAGTTAGTTCACCAGCATTCGGTGTGTTGTGGATGTGGCAGTGATGTTTTTGTTGAGGCTGCCTTGGTTGATATGTATGTAAAGTGCGGTGACATAAATTCTGCTCGGTTGATGTTTGATAAAATGGAAAAGAGAGATTTGGTATGTTGGACTTCTATGATTTCTGGTTATGCACACAACGGTTATAACGACGAGACTATGGAGTTCTTTGATATGATGCGTGGTTCAGGTATTAAAGCCAATAGGGTAGGTATATTGAGCGTACTTTTAGCTAGTGGTAATTTGGGAGCTTTGAGAAAAGGAGAAGAGTTCCATACTTATGTTGTCAAAACTGGGTTCGAGTCTGATATCTTGGTTGCAACTGCTGTAATGGATATGTATGCAAAGTGTGGGAATATAGGTTTGTCGCGAAGATTGTTTGATGCAACCGAAGGAAAAGATGTAGTTTGTTGGAGCGCGATGATTGCTTGTTATGGAATCCATGGCCATGGGCAGAAGGCGATTAATCTTTTTAACGAAATGATTAAAGAAGGCTTGAGGCCTAACCATGTAACATTCACTTGTGTTCTCTCAGCTTGTAGCCATTCGGGGTTACTTGAAGAAGGGAAGAAGTATTTTCAATTGATGAGAAGAGAGTTGCGGATTGCACCAAAACTAAGTAATTATGCATGTATGGTGGATCTTCTTGGTCGTGCAGGAGAACTTTCTGAAGCAGAAGAGCTCATAGAATCTATGCCAGTGAGACCTGATACAAGTATATGGGGGTCTTTGCTCGGAGCATGCCGAGTTCATAGTAATCTAGATTTAGCTGAAAGAATTGCAGATCATATTTTTCAGCTGGACCCCTTTCATGCTGGCTATCATGTCCTACTCTCCAACATTTATGCTGCCAAATCTAGGTGGAATGATGTCGAGAAGGTTAGGATGATGATGACTAGAAGAGGTGCCAATAAAGTTCAGGGAATCAGTTTGATAGAGCTAAACAATCTGGTTCACAAATTCGGAGTTGGCGATAGATCACATCCTCAATCAGAGAAGATTTATGCTCTCCTTGAGGAGTTGGCGGGTCCAATGAAACGCCTGGGTTATGTCCCCTTGACAGATTTTGTTCTTCATGACATTGAAGATGAGGCAAAAGAAGTGGCACTTTCCTACCATAGTGAGAGGCTGGCAATTGCATTTGGTCTCATCAATACTAGTCCAGGGACTACTCTTCGAATTACAAAGAATCTAAGGATCTGTGGAGACTGTCATAATGCGATTAAGTTCATCTCAAGGATTGTGAATCGAGTCATCATTGTCAGGGACATGCACCGGTTTCACCATTTTGAAAATGGAGTTTGTTCTTGTGGTGACTACTGGTAAGAGATTATGTGCTTTTTGACAGTTGAAGAGACAAAGATGGTTGTTCATGTAGCTTTGGGTTTCATCCCTGCTCCTCGGCGGCCTTGGGAACAATAAATCCTTATGCAAGAAAAGAAAATTAAAGCCACAACCTAATGGGAATTCTGATCAAGATACAGAAGCATCTTGAGTAAAGATTTTATGGCCGCCGGATAGTGGCAAAGCAAAAGCAGAGAAGTAATAACCATGAGTGGATAATTACTGGAATTCATGATTTTTTTTTTTGCCAAACTTCCTGCTAAATTTGCAAAGTTAAGCAGCCTGCTACTTAGACCTGCTGCCATATCATTCCATCAATTTTTTTGTCTGGCACTGTTAGTTCTCTCCTTCAACCGATCTAGTTGATTGAGAAGGCAATGGCGTTGCTTGTGAACGTTGTTTCTTCATCAGAGGTTGTGCTTAAGGAGACTGCTGGTGCGGGTGGTGCAATTCAATTAATAGTAGAGGCCGTGGAGGAAGGTCTGCCACAAAGCAAAGAGCACGCAGTGCGAGTTCTACTTCTGATATGCTGAAACGCAGACATAAACAAAACAAAAGGGGGAGGGATTTTGAGGAACTAGCCACACCAGGGCTGATTCAGTTGAGCGTTGAAGGGACGGGTAAGTCAAAGCAGAAGGCCAAAGCTCTGCTGCTGCTTCTAAGGGATTGCTCAGGTAAGGCGAAGGAGAAGCCCTCTCAAAATTGCCTGGTAATATGAAATCTTTATGCATGATTTTCAAACAACTTTTAATTACCAATACGTGGTCATTATGTTAAGTAGCCGGCTGAATAATACCTATAACGCCTTTCCAGCAAATGTTTAGACAACATGTAACATCATCCTCACATTCTAAGATGTATGTAAGCCTATCATTCTCCTTCAGACAAAGTGCTTAGTTCAAAGGATTATTTATCGATGTTATTATAACCCTCCACAAAAACCAAGGGAATATAACACCCAAAAGCAAACAGAATGCAGTGGACTACGGACTACATTTCACTTGGACCTTCTATAAAAGCTATAAGCCACCGCAACAGTAGCCACGGCTCCAACCACAGCAGCAGCTGTAAGAACTTCACGTTGCTCCCATTTTCCTACCCAGGTCGTGAGTCTTACCGGCCCATTCTTTCCCTGTTTTTCTTCCAAACTTTCATCTCTGCAACATGAGAATCCAGTACCACCTTGGCAACAGTTTGCCACACTTTCCCTTTTCTCCTCACTGCCATTTTCTTGAGGTGTCTCGCTATGCTCCAGAGCTTCTCCATTTGGAAGCTTATGTTCATCCAACTTGTCAGCTTCCTCAGCACGTCCACCCATTTGGCCCCTGCAATTGCAAACCACATGTTCTTATTACATTGCAACAATGCCAAAGAAGTGGAAGGAACATTTCTATTTTCTAGAAATCAGACAGGAAAGATACATGTTGTGCTTCTATTTGAACCCAAGATGATGAGTAATTAACATGCCATCATGAGGGTGATCCATCATGCAACGAGAAACTCTCCAAGAAACATGTGGAATTGCATGTTACAGGAGAATAAATGAAAGAAATCACCATTTCACTGATTATGATACAAACATTTAAAGGAGAGGCACATGCTAGTTACTGGCTGGATGACTTTCAAATGAAAGCAGACTAAATAATGCAGGGCAATGTTTAGAACCTTTTTAAATAAAAAACAAACAAAAGAAAAAGAGAAGAAATAGCAACTTATGCCCAAGCTGGCTTCATAAAGAATCCAAGTGAAGGATAATTCAACAAGTTTCAGATAGGATGGGAATGGCATGGTAACCCACTTCAAAGGTCCCCACTTTGGTATTTCACATTGATACATCTCACAGTACAATTAACAGTTTGTTACTCCAACAATCCACAATCACAACATGCATGGGTTGTTGCAGATTTCAAATGATGCTTGTAGGCCTAGCAGATAAAACAAAGGGACTTCTAAGTCCCAAGTGAAACAATTCCAATTTCAACTGAACGACACCATATTACAATATATAATTTCCGTTCCAATGCAAGTTGCAACCCTAAATTTTGATTGCACAACTTGATAGCTAGCCCTTATTTATTTGGTTAGAATATCTGCAAAAAATGCGTGTCCACTCAAATGGCAAGCCACAACAATTTTTATTTATTGTATAATCTAATTCATTTAATGCTAACCTATTCAAGTATCACAAGAGCTTTCAACAACTAGTTTCACTAAAAAGAGTCAGAATAGCATGAAATTACAAACCTCCAAAGTCGTTCAATGACCTCTCCCTTCCCAATATGCTGATCAAGCAAATCTGGTACATCATCCGGGGTGACATAACCATACCTGCATCTCAAAAACAAAAAACCACCAACAACTGTCAACACCATCCAAATGACCACATAAAATCTTATTCTTTCTTCAGAATCCCAAGAAACAAAGCCCGGAATCATAATTACCAATGCCCAGAAATTTTCCCTTCTGAGTCTGGACTGAAAATTATCACATTCCCTGCATACTTGTGACCCCCAACATGAGAGCAAGCAGTCACAAACACCTCATCCTCCAGTCCCTTTAATTCCATCTCCTCTTTAAACTTCTCAATTAGAACAGGTCCACAAACACCACATCGTCGGTCTCGCTTATTGTGAGCACACACAAAAACATGTGAACCAATCAACACCTCCTGCACTCCAGAAGCCCACGGTTTGCCATTCACAAGCACATCATCAACAAATCCATCCACATCGGACTCCTTCAGACCCCTTAAATCAGGAAGAAAATAATTGCTTAATCTCAGAAAGGAGAATGTAGGACTGAAATACTTGTAGTAAGGAAATTAGAGATCCGGTAAAAACAAGTTTCAGTAAGTAAAACCCTGAATCATGATGAAATTCAATTGTACAGTATTTGACAATTTTTGTTACAACCAACGCTATCTCATAGTCATCAAAGAAACTTTTAAGGAATTTTAATCTTAAAATCATCAGTGTCCATCACTTCATGATTGATACATATTACGAAAATCAGTGGATCTCAAAATCAATAGAGAAATCAGAACGAAACCATAGCTAAATAATAAAATTCACTTGGACCTCAACAATTATATTGAAATCAGCATAATCGTGACCACTCATAATTGTAAACACTTAATAGACTAGAACGAAAAAGCCAAACAAATCTACGTAATTTACCTGTATTTGATCATTTCAGGGAAAATCAATACATCTCCATCCGATAATCCGCTCCCATCACGTCCCTCACATATCGTCAAACGAGTCTATCAAATTAAATCACCGAGCAAAAACTCATCAGATCCAAAAGGACCAAAACAACTGGAAAATCATCAAATAACCCCCTCTCTGTGTACATCTATATAATATTACAACTAGACAGTTGAATTCTCAATTTACAAAAACACAATATTAATAACGGTCTTGATTCAATTTCCATCTACTTCTATATAATATAAATATATTATATTGAGTTTATGCATAGAAAAACTTGATGTAGGCAAGTCTGTGCTCGAGATAAGACGATTTCATACTAATACTAGTCTCTCTCTCTTGTACACGCACACAACTTGAATGATTTAAACATGTAGAAGCATTTCAGAATCAGAACTTCCATTTACGATAACGAGACTAACCTTGACGTTGATGTCGTTCTTGCGAGATTTAAGAGCATCAGAGAGAAGCTTGGGAAGGAGATCGGTATCAGAGTTTTCGACACGAGGAGGCCAAGAATCGTAAGACTTGTAGGAGAGGAACACGTGGCGGTCGTAGGGATCAACAGTGCCGGCGAGGTTGCTACTGTACATTTCGGATCTCTGGAACCCGAACTTGACTTCATCGGCGACGACATCAGAGGTGGCGTCGGATGAGAAGTTCTCTGAGGCCATGGTTGAAGCTAGGGTTCGGAGAGAGGATTGAGAGAGAGGTTTTAGAGAGAAGAAGGTGAAGGTGGAGAGATAACGTTGGGCTACAGAGAATAGAGGACGGCTTGGGTGCGGAATGCGCATCTGCTTGTTCGTGTGGGGGTACTTAAGGGAATGGGTATACGATTGGGAAAGGCAGGCTGAGACTGGCCTTGGCTTGGGCAGAAAGTTCATGCGGCTTGATGGCGCATGAAGACACGTGGAGTTCATTAGAGGAAGATACGACTTACGAGTGTGGTACTCTCTCGTTGGCGTAGTAAGATAAAAGGTGCTCTTTGGTAAGTATCACTATTTTTGGATTGAATTAGATTAAATAGACTAATTTAAACTCATTTAATTAAATTTAAGTGTGAAATAAATATTTGAAATTTTTGTAAAAAAAGCCAGAATTAAAAAAAAAATATTCAAACCGTTTGAAGTGTTATTGAAAAATCTGATTTTTCCTTATTGTTGCACAAAGAAGCGTCTTAGATAAGCTCGATTTATCAATTTTCCTTGGTCTTAGTATAGAAATTGTTCTGATCCAATAAATTGATGGAAAAATCATTCAATAAGCTCGAGTCCAAGCATACGAGATATTTTTTCCCTCTAAATTCAATAAAAAACTCTAAAAATTGTTGAATTAAAATAAAAAAAATTCAAGTTCTATGCTGTGATATAAAAATTCAAGTTCCCTTAAATTCAAGTTTTAACAATTTTAATTCAATGTAAGAACATTTGTATCTAATAGCATAAATTGCAATAATTTTATTTAAGGAAAATGTTATGTCTACTTAAAAATTTGATATAATTTATTGATTTTGATAATTTTATTTAAGGAAAATGTTATTTTTACTTAAAAATTTGATATAATTTATTGACTTGATGAACCACAACTATTGAATAGGTAATAAGTCTTAATAAATATTGAGACTCACTGCTAATTAATGACGATAATTAATTAATTAATTCAATTTTTAAAT